TCCATTCTTCCATTGATGGGCATTTAAGTTATCTCCATCTTTTTGCTATTGTGAACACTGCTGCAATGAACAGGGGTTAGTACATATTTTTACCCATGTATCTACTTCCAAATTACTATTATTTGTTACTGCTGTTGCTGGATTTTTTTTTTTTTTTTTAATGTTACTGACATTTACCATTGTTTTCCTTTATTCTTGCCTATCCATCAGTGTCTTTCCTTGCCTTGCTGACGTCTCTATATTGTGTATTTCCTTTCTATTCACCAGAATTAGCTCTACTATCTAGTTAGTTCTCCTTCCTCCCTCTCTACGCCTTCCTAGTAACCACCAAAGAATGTTTCTTTCTGTAAGTAAACCTGTTCTTAACTTTTTATATTGGTGGTCTCATACAGTATTTACCCTTTTGTTCATTCAGCATCATGTCCTTAAGAGTCATTCATGTTGTGAGATGTTGTGGTGATCCATGATTATTATTTATTGTTGCATAGTCTGCCATTGTGGCTTCCTGGTGTGGTGCTGTGGGTTAATACACTAGACTGCAAAGTTGACTTGAACTGCAAGGTCGGCTGTTCAAGCTCGCCAGCTGCTCCTTGGACACTCTATACAGGGTTACTATGGTGACTCAAAGGTACTTAACAACAACAAGCAACAGTCTGCCATTGTATATAGTACTACAATTTATTTATCCATTAGTGTGTTGATGGACATTTACGTTGTTTCTTTCATTTTGCTGTTGTGAATAGTGCTGTGATGAACTGGAGTGTGCATCTGTGTCACCCTGTTACTGCTCTTACTCTCTAATAGGATAGGACTGCTGGATTGTATAGTATTTCTGTTTTCAGTTTTGTAAAGTATTGCCTTACCATTTTCAACTGGGCCAGAGTATTTCATGAAGCTTCCCACATGCAGTTTTCTGTGAGGCTCAACTTCTATTTCGATACTGAATTTCGTTTCATTCCTTGTTCTTTTGCCAACTACATCAGTCATACCAGTATGTATCAAAATTTGCCTGGTACAAGTGCTTATGGACATGTAATTTGTATGCAGTTACCACATTGAGTGCTGAGAATGTTGTGGTGAAAAAAACAGGTACGATTTCTGGTTTAAATATTGCATTTATCCAAGAGGATTTAATGTAGTGTGGTGATTGTTTATCATTGCTTAAAAGGGTAGGAACTAGGTAAACCTTCAGGCTTTTAATTCAAATATCAGAAGGGCCCTTCTTTAGGAGTAAGGGTAAGACTGAAATGGTTGGTCCACAACAAAGCTTAAAACCAAGGTAATGTGCTTGTACTCTCCTTGTGTCCAGAAGGTACCCACTATTCTTAGGAGAATACATCATCAGAAGCCTAATATATATATATATATATATATATATATATAAAAGTTTGGCCTTCAATAGTAGAGGAAAAGACATGGTAAAATAAAAACAACAAAGCCACATTGTAGCTGCATAAATAATAAGGTGTGCACAAAATTATTCACTGCAAAAGTTTTCACATTAGCAAAATATATCAAGGAATTAGCAGTAGAGGATTGATTAAATAATGACCTATTTTTATGTATTGTATTTTCACACAAGTACTGTTGATACTTTGGAGTTCTGGTGTGGCACTGTGGGCTAATGCGTCAGACTGCAAAGTTGTTTGAACTGCAAGGTCGATGGTTTAAGCTCAACAGCTGCTCCTTGGAAACTGTATACAGGGCCGCTATGGGTCGGAATCGACTCGATGGCACTTAACAACAACAACTGTTGATATTTGGGGTGGGGAGCTATAGTGTATGGTGCAGTCCTAATCAATAAGGGAAATTGTTTATCTTTGGACCCAGCCTAATAATTGCAGTTATGCCCTCCAGTGTTTGAGATAACTCACAATGCTCTCACAGATTTTCATATACCTTGGTGAAACATTCTGGAGTTTGTGAATCATTGGTATCATGGAATTTTGTATCATTATTTTAGAAGAAAAGAGAGAAAATACTTTATAAATTGATAGCTGAGATTGTTTGATACCTTTAAGAATAAAATATAAAGGACAGAACCATAAATATTTACTGTTTTGTGTGAGAAAGATTAAAGTAAAAATACATGTATTTAGATTACTTACAATGCATAAAAATTTCTTGTATTATTACAAAAGAAACTAATGAAAATAATTATCTGTGGAAACTGGTGCGTGAAGGGAGATGAAAATGGGGTTCAAGAAAGATTTTTGCTGTATGCTATATATATATATTTAAATTATTTTTCATATTTTATTGGATGAAAGATACTGCAACAATATGTATCAATCCATTCCTTCCACAGTGCTCTCTACTAAACTAGGTTCACTAATCTCCAGCAATGGCCACACAGAGCTTGGACACCATATCACAGTTACAGGATTTACTAGGGAAGTTAACAGGATATTCTATCAGTTTCTTCTCCCACATTTCCTTACTCATACCCAGCTGGACAAAAACAATGTTCAGGGAGAAGAGATGCCAGATAATTCACTACGCCACAGTTCTGGGATATTAACTTGTTGCCCTCAAGTTGGTTCCAGCTCACAATGACCTTATACACAACAAAACAAAATGCTGACCAGTCCAGTGCCATCCATACAATCATTGTTAAGCTTGAGCCCATTGCTGCTCATACTGTGCCAATCCATCTCATTGGGGGTTGTCCTCTTTTTTGCTGACCTTCCACTTTACCTAGCATGATGCCCTTCTCAAGGGACTGGTCCCTCCTGATAGTACATCCGAAGCATGAGAGAAAGCATGCATACAAAGCTATTGAAAATGCCATGGCTTGGGTCAGGCACACCTTAGTCCTCAAACTAATATCTTTTCTCTTGAACACTTTAAGGAGGTCTTGTGCTGCAGATTTGTCTAATGCAATACATTGTTTGATTTCTTGAAAGCTGCTTCCATGACTATCAATAGTCGGTCCAAACAAAATGAAGACTTTGACAACTCATCTTTGCTGAATGTGCTCTTCCTTTTAAGTTTTCTAACTCCATGTATTTGAATATTTCATTATAATAGTTAACTAATCATCTGGAGCTCCTCTTTGATATGTTTAGCTCAGCTCTTTTACTTTCTCTTTTCTTCTATTTCCTTTCATATTTCTACACTGAAGAGCAGGTTTAAGAGCCTCTTTTGAAATTCATTTTGGTCTTTTCCTTGTTTCATGTTGTCTTAATGGCATTTGCTTTCTTCCTGTAAAACGTTCTTGATGTCATCCCACAACTCTTCTGATCTTCAATAACTAGTGTCTAATGCATCAAATCTGTTCTTGAGATGATCTCTAAATTCAGATAGGATATATGTTCATGGATAAATTTTGGTTCTCATGGACTTGTTTTAATTTTCTTAAGCTTTACTCTGAATCTGCATACGAGCAACTGATGGTCTGTTCTGCAGTCTGCAACTAACCTCGTTTTGGCTGATGGTATAGAGCTCTTCTACTATCTTTTCCTACAGATACAGTTGGTTTGGTTTCTTTCTATGTCATCTGGTAAGGTTCATGTGTATAGTCATTTTTTTTTTTTTTTTTTTTTAAGGTTTTTATTGTGGATTGAGTGAAAGTTTACAGGGCACATCATCAGTTTCACATTCAACCATTCATATGACTTGTTTCATTACATTGATTATAATCCCCTCCATATATCACCAGTTAACAGTGTTTCTCTCTATCCTCTTCAGCTTTTTTTGGGGGAGGGGAACGGGGAAGAACTTGCCTTTTTGGAATTTACTGTCTCGGCTTTTAGGGAAGGTTTTTACATTTATCTGTGGATATCCAGGGCTCATGTATGAGATTACTAACAAGCATAACTGAATAATCAGATGAGGGACAGTTTGCTATGTCTGCTAGGTGGCTATGTATATATTGTTTTGAGTTTAAAATTTTAGTTAGTTTGTTGTTGTTAATCAATGTTGTTGTTATAAGTGCCATTCAATCGGTTCTGACTCATATGGACACTGTTTAGGGTTTATGAGGTGCTACTGGTGGGTTTGAACTGCTGATGTTGTGGTCCAGTGCTTACCCCATAGTACCACACCAGAACTCTGTTTCATAAGAATGTACACAGCAGAAAGACAGCAATTCAGTAGTTTTTACATTTAATGACACTGATTACAGTGTTGGAGTTATGGAACCATTTTTACCCTTCTTTTTTGAGTTGTTTCTTTCCCATTAACATAAAATCACTAATGTCCTGGTCTCATCTTTGGAGTTGCTGTTGTCAATTTAATCCTATGTAGATCATAAAAGAGCATAGTGTTCAAGGTATACATTTTATTTTTCTTGCTAATTAAGGTATTGTTTGGTTTTAAGAAGAATTCAGGGGATATTTTTCATTTAAGTTTTGAAGATTACCTATCTCAGACCAATAGATTCTGGGGTTCATCCAGTCCATTTGGCTCCAGAAATAATGAAGTCCATGAGAATTTGAAATTCTCTTCTGCGATTTTTCCCTTTTGCTGAGGATTCTTATATAGACTCTATGATCAAAATGTTCAGTAATGGTAGTTGGGTACTGTCTTTTGATCTAATGGCAAAGGAGACAGGCACATAGCCTCCTCTCATTGCTGACGTTCCTTATTTCTATATTATGCTAGGCAGATAGATGGCCACTTGCAAACTTTTAAGACTCCGGGCATTACACATCCAGCTAGAAGATAGAATTGAAGCACTAAACATATTATTAGGCTGTTTAGCTAGAATGTCCTATGAAATCATTTGCTAAACCTCAAACCAGGAAACCAAATTCCAGGAGGTTTTTGGTTATAGATAAGTAGTATCAGCTTCTATTATTTTCTTTTTTAAATGGGGATATGTTATCTATTAAAATATTTAAGGAAAATATCATTTAAAAAAGAATAAACTACTTTTAGACACAATAATTTCTAAGAATGATTTTATATTTATGTATGATTTACAAATTGTTTTGGTCTTTTTCAAATCTCTCTCTCTTTCTCTCTCTTTTTTTTTTTTAACCTTTACCTTTATTCAGTGGAGTAGGACGAAATTGGGGCTGGGCATCTGCTGGTAGCAGCATTCTGGCTGAATTTGGTACCCTACATATGGAGTTTGTCCACCTCAGCTACTTGACAGGGAACCCAGTTTACTTCAAAAAGGTTAGTTTCCTTGTTTTTTTTTCTTTGTTTGCAGTTAAAGACTTCTTTAAGACCTAGCAAAATCTTTATTTGCCTTTTTGGAAATATGTTTATCAGGACTGACTTAAAAAAAAAAAAAATCAAATCAAATGCCTTTTCTATTTAGAGTATATTTTAAATATTTGAGAAATTTAAACCATTGTTAGATTTTTTTTAAAAATCCCATTATTATCTTGATAACCAGTATACTTCAGTTCCTTAATAGCTTGGTAAAATAAGAAACAAAAATGGAAAGATTTAAGAATTGGAAAAGAAGCAGAAACACAATAAATGTTTACCAATTTTATTAACCTGAAATAATTCTATTGAACCCTGATGGTCCTGTAGGCTAAGCACTGGACTGCTAACTGTGAGATTGGCAGTTTAAACTCATCAGCTGCTCCTCAGGAGAAAGATGAGGCTTTTACTCCTGTAAAGATTTGCAGCCTTGGAACCCTCCACAGGATTTCTATGAGTTGCAGTTGACTCGATGGCAGTGGGTTTGGACTTTGGTTTTATATTAAAATTGTTAGAAATAATAAGACTTTGATACCATTTTTGAATAAATATGAGGGAGCTTCAAAGAGTCCATAAGTAACATCCTGTTACCTTTTAAATGCATTTTTCCATGAACTTTTTGAAGTCCCATCATATTAAAACATTTTTCTGTACCATATACAAAAGGAAAAAATAATTTTTCAAAAAAGATATACAGTAGCAACAAAGGTGTAAGATTCCTGCAAATAAATTGAACAAAATATGAATCAAAATGCAAACTTCATTAAGTTGAAGAGGATAAAAATAATTAAGGGATATTTTATGTTCAAGTGTATATACACAGTATCATAAAAATCTCAATCATTTTCAAATTAGACTGTAACACCTTTCAGTGCCAGTCGAATATGCAATGGCTTTATATAAAATGAAACTTGACAAGACACTTCTAGAATTTGTATAGATGAGAACCATGAGACATTGCTGAAGAAAACAGGATAGGTGAATTTGTGCTACACAGTTATCAACACTGACAGTGAATTATTGGTACAAGAGACAAATAGACTGATGAACAGAATAGATAGTTCATAAAGATCCATATATATGTGAAAGCTGTGGCAAAGATAACATTGTAGATTACAGCAGGTAACTTCAGGAGCATTAAAGGCTTAAATGTAAAAGGCAAAACATAGAATTTTTTTTTTTTTTAAAACAAAAAGCAAAACATCTAGTACTTTGGGTACAGAAAATATGTTAAAACAGGATATGAAAAATACTACCTGGTAAAGTTTAAAATACACCTAATAATGACAGACACTTATTGTGCTCATGAGGAATCTGTACATGGACCAAGAGGCAGTTGTTCGAACAGAACATGGGAACACTGAAAGGTTTAAAATTAGAAATTGTGTACACAGGGTTGTATTCTTTCACCATACTTATTCAACCTATATGCTAAGCAAATAGTATGAAAAGCTGGGTTATATCTAGAAAAACGTGTCATCAGGATTGGAGGAAGACTCATCAACAACCTGCGATATGCAGATGATATACTTTTGCTTGCTCAAAGTGAAGAGGACTTAAAATACTTGCTGATGAAGATCAAAGTATGGATTGCATTTCAATGTAAAGGAAAAAAAATCCTCACCGCTGGACCAATAAGCAACATTCTTATCAATGGAAAAAAGATTGAAGTTGTCAAAGACTTAATTCTTCTTGGATCGACTATCAACACACAATGGAAGCAGCAGTAAAGAAATCAAAATGACATATTGCATTAGGTAAATCTGCTGCATAAGACCTTTTAAAAGTGTTGAAGAGCAGAGATATCAGCTTGAGGACTAAGGTGCGCCTGACCCAAGCCATGGTATTTTCAGTAACCTCATATGCATGCAAAAGCTGGACATTGAATAAGGAAGACCATAGAAGAATTGATGCTTTTGAGTTATGGTGTTGGAGGAGAATATTGAAAGTGCCATGGGCTGCCAAAAGAACCA